TATATATATATATATATATATATATATATAAATACATAAGACCCAATTATAATTTTTTTATTCTAGGAACCTAATTAAAAATTTTAAAAAAAGTTCATAGGGCATAGGACAAATGATATAGTAAACATTAATTAAATCATGTATTTATTTATATATCGTAAAGGGTCATATCTATTATCTCGTCTAGGGCCTATGAAATGTTAAGGTCGTTCTTAGAAGTAGTAGGGGTGACAAAGTGGGTTAATCTACTTAAATGAATTGATAAATTCAACCATTTTACTTAGCACTGAGTTAACTAGTTGGTCCACTTTAGTGAATTAGTAGGTTGATAAGTATTTAACCACCCAATTTTATTTTTAAGAGAGATTCATATTGTTGATCAACTCGATAAGGTACTTGTAGGCCCCTAATTAGAGTTGATGGAGAAAAATATTATTTTGAGAATATTAAATATTTAAAATAAACTAATATTTATTTTTATAAAATTCAATATCAAAATTTTAATATATATATATATATTTAAAAATCATTAATTTACATTTACTTGTAATTAAATTTTGTCTTCTCTAAATCAAGAATTTAAATTTTAAAAAATTTGAATTAGTTTATAAAATAAAATATTTAATAAATTGAATGATAGAAATTCAAATCAAAATTTAAATTTCAAAAAATTTTAAATTCCCATAAACATCCCATACATGCAATTCAACTCTCAAGAAAAATGTGACAACTGATATAACACACTGCCAGTGCTATTAATATATAGAGCAAAGTATGTGAGGTCTTATACCACAAAGGCACGAAAACCTAGCTAGCTGTGCTAGTTTAGATATATGGATTCCTATAGTGAAGAGGATGCTACGAAATTACTTCGAGCTCAGACCCATGTATGGAATCATATTTTGAAATTCATAAGCTCTATGTCTCTTAAATGTGCAATTGAATTAAGCATACCAGATATCATACACAAGTATGGCCAACCCATGCCACTCTCACAACTCATTGCTTCACTACCCATCCACCCATCAAAGTCCAGCTTCATCTACCGCTTGATGCGGATTTTGACTCATTTTGGTTTCATCTCTCAACACAACATCATTCAAAATGATAAGCAAGAAGTAAGGTATGAGCTAACTGATCCATGCAAACTACTCCTTAAGGACAATCCCTTGAGTATGACATCTTTGTTACAAGCCTTACTTGATCCAATTTGCATTAATCTATGGCATCAATTCTCAACTTGGTTCACAAATGAAGACCCTACAACATTTCACACAGAAAAAGGGACTACATTTTATGAATTTTTGGGGCGTGACCCTTTCAATCACCTTTTCAATGATGGCATGGCTAGTGACACTCAATTGGTTTCTAGTGTGATGATTGAGAAGTGCAAGGGGGTGTTTAAGGGATTAAAGTCATTGGTTGATGTTGGAGGAGGAACAGGGACTATGGCTAAGACCATTGCAAAGTCATTTCCACAATTAGAGTGCATTGTATTTGATCTCCCACATGTTGTTAACAACTTGCAAGGAGCTGAGAACTTAAAATATTTTGGAGGGGACATGTTCGAAGGAATTCCTCCTGCTGATTCAGTTTTATTGAAGGTAAATATTATTCATGTATTAATTATCTTCTCAATTCACCTTTAGCACATCATTTTGAATGTACTGGATTATAGATAATTTTGACTCCACAGATATATTGTTCTAATACATTTCACATATTGGTAGGTTAGATATAATATAAGAGCGTAGAACTAAGGTAGTTATGAGTCCATAACGTCAATATTGGAGAAAGGTAGTATACTGGTACGTAGGTTAGATATAAAAAAAAGAAAAGAGTATACGGTAGTGTTGGAAAAGAAAAATTCATTATATTTTTATACGCAATAATGATAATATGATAGAGTACACGTAAGTGTCATAAAACTAAAGAAAAATCACAAAAAAAAAAAAATTCTCTTGATTTATTCCTTTATATCTATATCGGCCTAGTCAGCCACCATACGGTATACAAGATTGTGAGTGGTCGGTGGGCTCGGGTATTCGACCTGGTCATCCACGGACTCGGGTATTCGGCCTAGTCGGCCACGAACTCGGGTATTCGGCCTAGTGGTCTGCGAACTCGGGTATTCGGCCTAGTCAGCCACCATCTGGGGCCGAGCACGCTTCGGCTGAACACTCTCAAGCTGAGCACTCTCGCGGATCAAATACATCGCATATCAAATCGCATGATCCGACTCTGAGGCCGAGCACGCTTCGGTCGAACACTCTCAAGACGAGCACTCTCGCGGATCAAATACACTTCCGCGTATCAAATCGCATGATCCGGCTCCGAGGCCGAGCACGCTTCGGCCGAACACTCTCAAGACGAGCACTCTCGCGGATCAAATACACTTCGCGTATCAAATCGCATGATCCGACTCCGAGGCCGAGCACGCTTCGGCCGAACACTCTCAAGACGAGCACTCTCGCGGATCAAATACATTTCGCGTATCAAATCGCATGATCCGACTCCGAGGCCGAGCACGCTTCGACCGAACACTCTCAAGTCGAGCACTCTCGCGTGCTCCAACACACTTCGCGCATCAAATCGCGTGACCCAACATTCCGGTGCCGACCACGCTTAGGCCGAACACGCTCAAGCCGAGCACTCTCGTGGATTAAATACACTGCATATCAAATCCCGTGACCCAACATTCCGGGGCCGACCACGCTTAGGCCGAACAGGCTCAAGCTGAGCACTCTCGCGGATTAAATACACCGCGTATAAAATCGCGTGATCCGACTCCGAGGCCGAGCACGCTTCGACCGAATACTCTCAAGCCGAGCACTCTCGCGGATCAAATACATCACATATCAAATCGCATGATCTGACTTCGACTCCGAGCACGCTTCGGTCGAACAAGCTCAAGCCGAGCACTCTCGCAGATTAAATACACCGCGTATCAAATCGCGTAACCCAACATTTCGGGGCCGACCACGCTTAGGCCGAACACGCTCAAGCCGAGCACTCTCACGGATTAAATACACCACGTATCAAATCGCGTGATCCGACTCCGAGGCCGAGCACGCTTCGGCCGAACACTCTCAAGCCGAGCACTCTCGCGGATCAAATACATCGCATATCAAATTGCATGATCCGACTCCGAGGCCGAGCACGCTTCGGCCGAACACTCTCAAGCCGAGCACTCTCGCGGATCAAATACATCGCATATCAAAT